ACTGTAAGGCAAACATGTCAACAACTACAACAGGGTTCCATGCGGAAGAATTCCAAGCCGGGACTGGTGAACATTGGAATTCGGTGGGTCCCGATTCATCCAAAAACCGGTTTTGAGGAGGTGCTTCCCCATTTAAGTCCATTGCCATACTGTGCAGATTCCCAACGGAATGATTCGATTCCCCAACGAACGTAATTACCATAACAAATGTTATGCTTTCCCAGGGTCTCTCATGTCGTGCGAGAAGCAAATGGATTTCGCACACTTCCCGGTACATCACCCCGGCTGAAAGGAAGCTCACTTTGCCTCACCCCACCGTAGGCAAAGGCCCGGGCAAACGAAGCTCTCCCGGGACTCTGAGTTGATCGGCTCGGCCACCTGGCGGACTCTGATTTTTCCACGTGCAGTCACAGGGGAAAACGTGTCTGACAATTGAGGGAGCCACAAAAAGATGTTGCCCCCCCCCCCCCAATCTGAGACGACTCATTGAAGCCCTAATCCTCACCAATATTTCCTTTTGCAACATCACCCCAGCAAAAGCATACCTCAAAGTTTCGCTCGTTCTTTGGCTATAGAGGGCAGCCAAATGGAAAAAATGGAGGCGGTCCAAATCACTTTGACATGTACCAAAGCTCTCCGCGAGACGCTGGGGCTCCGGGCACTCTTGACAAGGCCCTGCCCCTTGCCCCGGTGCTTGTTCATGGCCTCACGCTCAAAACATGGCTGTGAATGTTTATAGGAACTCACCTCAAAGTGATCTGTGCACATAGATCCCCACCAAAATCCAATGCAATAAAATCACACCCGTCTGGGTGCATGTCAATCAAAAATATCTCCGCGACCCCAAAATGGCGGTTTTCCCTTTGGTTTCCCTTTGGGCCAATGTAGATTGGGAACCCTCGAACACACACCTGCAAAACGCGGTCGGCTTTCGCGCTGAGATAACTTGTTCTTTTTGTATCCCCCCAACGGCCGAACCCCACGCACCCAAGAAGGCAGCCCACCCCCAAGGAACAAAATCATTTTTTCTTGAGAATCACGTTGACCCGAACCCAAAAAAAAGAAGCAATGACCACCTCCGATGGGAAATTCCCTCCTAAGCATCATGACCAGCCAGCTCCCCGAGACGATTCATACATGCCCTGAGACTATGACTGCTGACATCTCCTCGCCCCCATGGAAAAACCGCAGAACGTGCGACCAACCCACGCTCCCAAAAAAATATATTGAGCCTATCAAGACTACAATTGGGAAGAACAACCACCAAAAACAAACTTCATTGCATAGTTTATAGTTTCATTCAAGAGCTTGAGGGTGAAACACATGATGTTGGGGCCCAACAACAACGATTTGCTGCTGCAACCCCAGACGCTCCCCGCCCCCTCCCCCCCCCCAAAAAAAAAAAAAACACGAAAACACGTTCGACACCACAAAACTAAATTTAAATCAATGAAAAGCCAATTCAAGCAATACCAAGTCAAGTGTTAGCAACACTAAGACTTGGGAATCTAATCCAGCAACACTGCGTCGAATGAAAAGTTTGGGGACCGGAATCCAGCCACGATGGTACGACTGCGCCAACAGCGTCCCCCGTGCCTGCACGAAAGCTGAAACAAAATCAACTGGAAACTTCAACCCTCAAATCCAATCTCAAAAGGCTCCAGCAATACTAAATCAAATGGACTCCCCATTGGGCCCGGCAATGCAACCCAACTTGATTTGGGGAGGATCATCTGTGTTAAGGGGATCCATTGTTGACGCGAGTCCGATTAATCAAGGGTTCCCATCATTTACTGCATCAATGATGGAAAACCAGGTTTTTCCACACATACCAAAAAGTGAGTGGGTATTTGGAGGGGGGTCAGTGTCCTCTCTCCTCCAACCCCGAACAGCCAGGGTGGGGCCCCAACCTCCGCCCTGGAAAGGCTTGCAAGGGCCTTCTCAGGGAGTTCTTAGAGATAAGGCTCCAATGCTTTTCCCTATGTGGGGTCAAGTTTTCGAGGGGTAGAGGTTGTTTTAAAGAGACACTACACGGGAAAAAATGCGGGGCTCCCCTTTGACACAAACACCCTTTCCCAAAGAAGGTCTTCCAGGCTTGGTTCACCTTCGGAAACCAGCACACCTAGGGTTCTTTTTTTCTTTACTCCGTTGAAGCTCAGGGACTGTTGAAATACACAAATCGAACTCCGAAAGGGAACCCTGACATGCAATTTGAGTGTCTTTTGAGGGTTTGAAGGGTAAGCCAAAAGAAAACCGAAATCCATGTTGAGGGTCTGCTTTTGACACATATGCCTTTTGGTGTTTACGAAACAAGTGAGGACCCCAAATTGGTGGTTTTGGCGTGCAAACCTAAACAGCAACACGTGTAACCACCAATTTATCCGACCGACATCCAAGAAGAAACGACTAAAAAATCCTGGAAAAGCCGTACCAAATCCTCCCCTCGCTTGCCGGCCGTTTCAAAATTGGTCAGTTCCACTTGGGGGACCGTATGGAATCCCTAAGATAGGTGGTCCCAGAGGGGGATTCCCTAAACCTCCATAACAAAACCCCCCAAAAAAAAACAGGGAACCTGAAGGAACGCCAGGGCTCTCAACTACCCATCCCCCTTGCACCTACGCAGCTCAGGTGCACGATCCCCTCCCCCCCCACGATTTGGGACGCACTTGCACCCCCCACCCACCGCCCCCCATTTTGCCTTTAAACAAAACATGGGAGTCATTTTGTGCCATTTTGTGATCCATTTGCTCCATTCCCGACTTCGTGGGACCTACCCATCCCCTTCCACCAAAAATCATCCAACATGGCACCTGTGGCTGCGGGTACCGACTAAGTTTCCACTTCAAGGGACTCTCCTAGGTGCAACACGGCAACATGGGACGTCCCTGGGAGCCCTTGCAAAGGCCATCTGGTTGGCCGGGAAGTCCGTAACGACATATCTGCGGAACCTGACACAGAGCCGCCGCGGTTTTTGGTCTTGGCAGGGCTCGGTGTCCGTTTTGGGGACCCGCTCCCCTTTAAAGTGGAAAGTAAAAGGAAACCGAAACTGGTGTAGGTCAAATAGACTCAAATGCAACCCTGGTAAATGGAAACAGGGACTAAAACCTGTTTCCAAAGGTGGTTTAATTTTGACCCATACCCAGATCCATTTTGGGGGTCCCCCCTATTTTGATAGCCATGTCCCTTCATGAGAGCTTGGGCGCTGCAACTCTATGTTCTCGTATTAATTTGGTGAGTAAATACAGTCAAATAATGGGCCCAGTACCTGTAATCCCCTACTGTAAGATGGGGAAACTCCGAAAAAAGAATTGCACATTCACGATGGTTCCCATCTTATTTCGGGTGACTTTCTTTTCTGTAACCCCATGTTCTGGAAGCCAAGTCTGGTGAGTCCCATGACGGTGTGCGCTGTTCTGAGGGTGCTCTTTTTGAGGTTGGTTTCAAGGAAACCCGACATCCACTTTTGGAGTCTCCCGATTTCATCTCTACCCATACTACCCATAAGGGGCTAACCACATTATTTCATGGGAGAATCCTGAATCGCCCCACTGGTTTTGTCTCAAACTGGGATTGCTGTTTGAACCTCCAAACTGGGCGAGGGTAGCCAACCACACCCCCATTCGTATTCCTGGCGCGTCGGACTGGCAAAGGTCAGCACTTGCGACTCTGTCTGCGGGAAACACCCAACATAGGCCACCCCCGTTTCCCGAAAATCCAAGTGCACCCAACATAGACCGTGTTTCCCACAACCCGCCCCAAGCCGCTGGACCAAGCAATGGCCAATCAGTCCTAAACCTAAGCCCCTGCGACCTGAGGTCCCGGCGACTGCCCGTACTGCGACTTCAAATAGTCGTCAGACAGCGACATGGCTCCGGCCGCACTCTCGATGTTTCAGGTGGGAAGAAGCAGGAAAAGCTGAAGCGGAACTCTTCAGTCCTTGCATGCTGTGAGTAAACCAATCGCAACACCGCGGTAACTCATCGTGTGGACGAGCAAAATCAACTTCGCACTGGTTGTCATGGAGTTTCATCCAGCCCAACCGGTGCATCCATCACAGCGGGGTTTCCCTGGTTGCCTTGCGATATCCACCGAAGCTGTCTTTCAGCTAACTCAATTGGTCGTGTTTTTGGCGTCAGACCCCCCCCATTTGCACTGAGTTTGTGGTGTGCATTCGCCTTGTAGACGGGCAGCCAGAGTTGCGAAAGGTGGCGGCCAACTTCTGAGAAGCTGGTCTGCAGCTTCTAGAGGGCATCCACGAACCAGCGAGCGCTCTAAAAGGGGGGTGGGGGCTCGCAAAGTGAGGGATAGTGACGGGGATTGGTTGACCAAGCTCAGATTGCCAATTTGCCAGAGCAACCGCCAGGAACCTGAAAAGGGGTTTGGTGCTCTTTGATTCATTGAGTTACCCCGTTTTCAGAAGGAAAGCGCAGTTGGGGGCCACACATTCAGTTTTGTCCATCCGAGGACCTTTGCTGAGGAAATCTCCAACATGGAAGTGCACAAACGGCAAACAAAAAGCGGTTGCTAGAATCTCCAGCGAGTTGAGCTTCGTTGCCAGAAACCGGGTACTTTGAGACTCTCGGTTGATTTGATGCAGAGATTTCTTGGACCAACCCAAACCTTCGAATCTTCTGGGCCTTCAGGTGCAAGTATTTTTTCAAAACCTCCTTCGGTACTCCAATGGCCTGGCCAACCCAAACCGTTCAAAGGCGGCGAAGGCACCCAATGGGACTAGACCTTCCCAACCTTCATCTACCCGGGGTTTTGCTGGCACCGGAGTTCAGCCCTGGATTTCCCAAGCCTCAAAAAGTCACATGTCTCAAAGTATGAGAACCGGAGAATTGGTGGCTCTCCTTTTGTTCCCCTTTAAACCGTCTCAAAACAAACGGTCAGATTCAGGGGCCAAACAAACCTGGTGCCTTTTGGTCTGTCTTTGCTTGGCTGGCTCCCACGTTTCTAATCCGGGACTGCAAATCCGCAAATCCGAAATCCGAAACCGCCTTGTCCCTGCGGTTCACGAAGATGATGCTCTGGCTCACATTGAGGCACCCGTAGAGCTGGCGGCAAAACACGAGGCGTTTTGGAGAAGCAAAAGGCTCCGGTCAAAAGCCTCGGGGAAGGAAGGCACATCACCAAGCTTGGACGAAGCGCATCTCTTGGAAGGGCACACCTGACCCAAGTTTTTGATTGGGGTTGCTTTCACTGCCATAGGGGTACCTCCCCCATTCTTTCCATGGATCCTTCTTTCTACAAAACCTCCAACGGCCAGTTTTTGAGAAGAACGATGGTTCAAAAGAATGGAAATGGAATCATCCCCTAGACATACAGTAGTAATAGGACTTCCAAAAGGCCCACAACTTCCGTGGAGTTTGCCAAGCCCTTCCCACGATGTCAACGATTTCCCCGGAGTGACATCTTCGATTTCGATCAGAACCATCATGTTCTCGTTCTCGTGTGCCAAGAAAGCAGCCGCTGACTGGCGAATATATAGACGAGTCCTGGTTGGGGGGCAGTACCTTTTTCAGCTTGGCTTCAAGGGAAACCAAACGGACGACCACCGGGTCCTGAGCCAAGGACACTTGGGATTGGTTTTCCGATGTTGCAACGGGGTGTGTCTTTAAACATAGACCCCGAACATTGTGGTTTTCCTGTTGGTGTCCATTGACAGAAAGACAACCCCAAGTGTCCACCATGTTGCGAGGCTCCGGGACCCTCGGCGCTTTTTCGAATGGGAACGCTGCAAAAGAGGCTAGGCGGCCGCGCGCTGCAAAGCTGCGCGAACTTCTCTTCCTCAGAGGCGCACTCTCTGTAGACCTGCCTCAGCGCGTTTCGAAAGCCCTTCCGCCGGGATTTTCTTGCCCCCCGCCTCAAAAACCGCCGTCGAGGAAAGCTCGGGGGAGAAAAAAAAACAAAAAACGGATGTGGCCTTAGTGGGTTGAATGATCATCCGACGGCGGTGTGTGGTGGGTCCCCCGCAAAAGAAAGACAAAGTCCCGTAACTGGGATGTGCCCTACTGCGGGACTTGTCATCCAGGGATAGTAACCCCACGTAAATGGGATGGTCATCGAAGGGATACAGCCTTGCGACTTTCAAAGGGGAAGCATGGCGTGTTTCTTTTGCGCCAACCTACTTCCAAGGGGAAGTTTCTGCCAGTGCTTTATTGAGCAATGCGAGCCTATGAGGTCTGGACGGCTGGAAAAAAAGAAGAAGAACAAATATGTCTGTGTTTCAAGCCGGCGACAAATACTATCCTGAGTGCATAAGAGTTCTTTGCCAAAACTGACGAGCCACCCAAAGCTTGTGCCTCATGTCATGTTGCCCAGATTTATCACCCATTGCACCTCTCAAAGGAATGCGGTTTAACTGGCCAACGAACCCGAGAGCGGCGCTTCCGAAGCCAAGCGGAAGTGGGGGCTTGTCAAGGGAAACCAAATGCCCTATACAAAGACACACCCACACGAGGTGGCTGTCAAAGTACCCACACAAAATGTCCGTTGCCCCGGCGTATTTTGGTCCGTGTATGGGGTGTACCCGTCAGGTGTACCAAGCTGGGGTCGACATACTGAGAGGCCATACCGTGGGTTGATTTTTCACCACCCAAAACATGGGTTACATGGTTCCGTGCTTATTTGAGGATGCCATTCTGAGTGAATTCAAAGGGAAACGAGCGATTTTGAGACAACCCTATAAATTTCAACTGTAGGGGTACACGACAACAGCCCTTGAATGGTGTGGCATACATGGCCTGTCTGTTTTGTGTTTTATGTTTGTAGGACAGGCCACAGTGAGATTCCAGGACGAAACGACACCCCCCAACCATCAAGTCTGCACTTGGGCTTGTGTCAAAATAAGGGGCATCTTTTGATGTCCCAAAAACCAAACCCAAAAAGGGTGGCAACTAAAAAGCAAGAGAAGGCGCACGCCTCCAAGCCCAAACCCTCAGGATCGTTTTGGGGGGCGCTCCCCAGGCGCGTGGCGGGGTCGATGTTTGCTAGGACAGAAGGCAGGTGGTTGACCAACAATCCAGGGCTTGATTTCCCATCCTTTCCATGTATCGTTCTGCTGGGAATTCTAGTATGTCCATCCTGTGTTGGACCATAAACGCGTCAAAAGAGGGAACAGGTCCTTGCCCCAGCGTTTTGAGCGTCAGATTCAAATCGGATCCCGCTTTGGAAGTATAGAGAAGTGTCAACACAGGGTATCTAAAGATGGCTTCGCTGGGTTCTCCTTTTGGCTTCCCCCAGAAACTTTATCCCAAATATGGGGTACCCTTCGCCTCAAACAGGGAAGGACCCCTGAAACCGCCAAACCTAACTTTTTAGCAGACAGTCTCTCTCTCTCTCTCTCTCTTTTGGGGCTGCTGCAGGACGCTGGCAACCGTGAGGTCCTTCTTGGACACCTGAAAAAAAATCAGCCCGGCCATTTGGGCACGGCAGCCAAACGGAAGCCGTTGAGGGAATACCGCCATTTTGGGGTCCCAAATTTACTTTGACATGAACACCGCCCAAAAAAAAAAAGCAGATGGACCTGCATGTCTGTTAAAATGTCATTGGGACCCCTTTGGCGGACCTCAGAATTCGGGGATAAAACGGCCAACCAGGTTTGAGAGGTCGTCCTATAAATATGCTTCATGGCCATCTGAGGCACGGTCGAAACATTGCGGCATGGCAGATAGTCCAGATATCGGTGTTGGGCGAACCTCGACGGGAATTGATTCCCCCTATGTCCCACCCAAGCGAGCCATGGGATATGTTTGACCAAACCTCCCAGAAATCAAGGACTGCCACAAAGGGGTCAATCCCAATTTTGTGAACCAATGTGGGTTCCCCTTTTCGAGGGGGCCACAAATGGCAACCTTTTTTTCACTATCCAGAAAGGGTCAAACCTTGGGTGTGAACTCTAGTTGGGACCCGTAGTATGTCCACCAAGCATCTGGGAAGGCATTCCCTATCACAAAAAAAATAACCTTTTCCAGACCACCCCCGATCGAGGTAATGTCGACCATGCTCCTTCGAAAAGGAACCCCCGGTGGCGGGTAGTTGGTATCCTATTGGCTGCCCCTTAAACTATTAACCAAGAGTCGTGGCCAGCCGAAAGAAGTGCTTGCAAACTGCACATAGCTCATCCCAGTGTAATAGGGCTCCATAGGGTTCACGTGGGTCCCAGCAAACACTACTCCAAGCCCCCGATCCCCGCGCCTTGATGCCTTTGCTGCTGGGGATCAGCCCCGTGCCAAACTTGCGCACGTCGTCCGGAAACGTCGCGCTGAAAAAGAGCACCTGCCGATCCGAGCTCTGCCAAGCTGAAATGTGGCGCAGTTGTTCACTTTTTGGTCAGAAAAGCAACCAGACATTGTGTTTGCAACTCCTGCTCAGCATCACTTGCCTGGCCATCTACCAAAACTCCTCAGGCTACCCATCTGCCATGCGTCAACCTTTTGGAAAAACTTGCAGAAGTGGCTACTGACCTTGTACAATATGCGTCAAACTATACGAAAGTGTCCGCCCTTCCAAATTGCCATGACCACTGCGCATGTCAATCTCCGAACGGCTGAGTCCCTTTACGCCCTCTGCGAAAAGAATGGAACTCGCACACATGAAACACGCGCAAATCAGATACGCGCACACCCACGCGTACACACGCACCCGAGAAGGGTCGCTAGCATCCATCCCCCAAGTCCGGGCCAAAGAAGGCCCAACGGGCCAAGGCCAAATGAGGAATTTGGCTTTTTCTGGGCAACTTCACAGACATTCTTCTTCTTGCCCATCGGTGACCCACTTCTGCGGCGCTGGCCAAATGGAGCGGATTGGTGAAAACTTCCCCCTTTCTTGGGCAACCCATGCAAAACAAGCAGGGGAGTCAAAGGGCAACAGCAAGAAACACCAAAAGCCTGCTGAACAGACAGCAAGACACACCAAGCTTCAACACACGTTTGGGGGACTTTCTGGGCCCAACAGGCGGTGGCTCAAATAAATGTACCAAAATGGCTTGCCCTGGCAAATGGAACCAAAGACTAAAACCTGCGGTTTGCCTTGGGTCTTTGATTTTGAGCCACCAACAGTTCTGGGAGAGCTTTGGACACCAAATGCCCGGCGTTAAAAACGCCAAGAGATCCCTCCGGAGGGCAGCGACTGTTGCCCTGCCACTTGCGCTTCCCAGCCTATGCTCTGGGGGAAATGGAGGGGGCAGAGGAAATGAAAGCGAGAAGGGAAACGAAGACTGAGGGGGAAATGAAAGGGAAATGAAGACAAAAGAAAGGGAAATCAGGGATGAAGAGGGGGAAATGCAGGGAAATGAAGCAGGTTGAAGGGGAAACGAAAGGGAAATGAACGGGGAATGAGACATGCATGAGAAATTAGTGGCACATGAAGGGGAGATGCAGGGAAAATACAGGGACATCAAAGGGAAATGAAGGGGAAATGAAGGGGAAATGAAGGAGGGGAAATGACAGGGAAATGAAGGGGAATGAAAAGGGGCAGTGAAGGGAAATAAACAGGAAAAACGGGACATGAAGGGGAAGTGAGCGGCACGCGAAGGGGACATTGATGGGAGATGCAATGTCGGCGCACTGAGCCGCAGGCTCTAAAATGATAGGCTCCCTTGACCCACACGTGGAGATAAACAAAAAGAAGTAGCCATAGATTCCCTTCAAAACTGCAAGGCTGTTCAAAACAAAAAACGCATAGCAGCTGCTCTTACGCCATGGACACGTCGGGCTCTCGCTTTTGGGCCGGGCCTGCAAGGGGTCGTCCTGGAGCATCCGCCGGATCTGGTGGATCTGGCTGCCCATCTGGTTGGACTGGCGCACGGGCAAACGGGAAGTTGGGGTGGGGGGGGGGGGGGGTTCTGTTTCTGTGCCTTTTGGCGGGAGGTTGGGGGTTAGGAGTTTGTGCTTGCTTGGGGGGAAGAAGGTGAGTTTGTGTTTTGTTTGGGGGGAAGAAGAAGGTAGGGCCTCTGTGTATGTTAGGGCGTTGGGCCAGGAGGCGTTTGTTTTCGGGTTTGCGCCCACACAAGGTCTTTTTTGTTTGGTGACCACAGGGAATAAGCCCAAAAGCTCCCTAGCACATGAGTACATAACCTGGGCTAAGTTCCATTTGGGGGGAGATGTTGGGCACCCCACTCGGTCTGGAAAAATCCATCGGGCCCTTCTGGTTTCTGCTGGGGGCGGGGGGGGGGGGCGTGGGGGGTTCTGATGGTTTGAGGGTTTGAGGCTGTCTCTCAAATTCAAGAGGTCCATCGAACAAATTTCCTTTGGCAAGAGGCTGGTGGTCTCTCAGGTGGCCTTTGGGGGGAAACTGCCCTGGAAACTCCAGCCAAAAGGGAGGTCGGCATCGGGTCCGCAGCAACCGGGCCTCCCGCACCCCGAAACCAACAGTAACCCTTCATGTGGTTTGAAAGTGATTCGATTCATGTCGTGATATGTAGTGGGGTATGTGGGGTATGTCCAAAAAAGGGAAGCACCGACCCATGCCTTTTCCTCTCCCCTGGCACCCCGAACCCGAAGCTTCATGCCTCGGAGAGCATCACGTCGGCCTCGTCCAGGACCAGGGTCTTCACCCCCCGGCAGTCGATGATGCGCTTCTTCGCCAGGTCCTGCCGCCCCCGCGAAGCCGGAGAAGGGCCCGGAGAAACCCCGAGACACCGAAAGGACCCGAAAGGACCCGAAAGGACCCGAAAGGACCCGAAAGGACCCGAAAAGGACCCGTGCAAAGACCGAAAAGCTCAGAGGGAAGGTGGGGCACCTCTCTCACCCAGCAAAAAGAGAAAGAAAGCAAGAGCAAGAAAAAGGGCTTTTCGGCTGGGTCTTTGGAAGAAAACGGCACGGTCTGCAGGTATTTGGAAGGGAATGCTGGGCAAATGTGCGAGTTGGGGAGGTCTAATACTCCCTGGGCTTCTTGAGTTGTTCCACCTGGGTTGCTTCTGAGGGCACAACTTTCAGGTTTTGGTTTGGGAAGCCAAAAGGGAAAACCATGAAGGGGTTTCCCTATGAGACACACCTGCTTTGAGAGTCCCAAAAGGTTGAAGTTTAACTGGGGAAGTGAGGGGAGGTTCTCAGTTTGTTCTCAGCTGGGAGGCTAAACCCATAGAGATGCGGGATGCTTTGAGGAGGGCTCTCTTCTGAATAAGTTGGAATGTTGGCTTGGCATTCCGGCGTAAGCCGCCCCAAGGGATGCGCACGGGTGACCCTTTCTGCACAAGATCCAGAATTCCCCCCCCCCCACCACCCGCCCGCTTTCGGGGGAAAGATCTGGTAGTTTCAAATTTGCCAGATTGATTCATCTGCACTAATTTCTTGCGACCCTTGAAAGGGAAGCCAGGAAGACCTCAAGTTTAGGGGACGGAGAAAAACAGACTGGGATGACCACTTCGTCCAAGTGGCTACAATTCCCAGTTGACAACTCTAAACGGGACTTAACCTATGACCCATTTGGGGGACTTATGAACTGGAGATATTGACCCAACAGACACTGACTTGTACGTGTGCTGAAGATTAAGATTGATTTGCAGAGAAATCGATTCCTTTTCGGAAAATCAGACCCCGTTTGAATCGGATCCTGGGGCCAATCTGAAGGTTCCTTTTAGTGGGACCTTGCCAGGAACTTTGGCTGCCGAGTTGGTTTCGGGTTTTGGGGAGACCTTGAAAAAGGGAAGGATCAAGCCTTGCCATGCGGATGAAACACATCCGCATATTTTGGGAAAATAGATGGGTTTCCCTGGTACATGGGGCATAAACCGAATCCATCCAAACCAGGAAACGCCCTCTATTCTTTTGTTCAGCCAACCCACCCAAAAAGGACACCTATGTTCAACCACACCTTTCGCGCCAAAGAGAGACGAATCCCATGGCATCCCGAAACGCCCACCAATCCCCGGTCCGACAGCTTGCCGGGGGTGCCGATCAGCACGTGGCTGCGGGGGTTGCTGGGGCACCTCTCCTCGAGCCGGGCCGCGAGTCGAAGGAAAAGCCGCAGGTCAGCTTCCCTCAAGAAGGCTGGCGCGCAGCCCGGTGGTTTCGGGGGCTGGGTGTTGTTTTTTCTTTTTCTTTTTTTTCCGAGAGTTGATGGCAGTTTTCTGGGTAACGGAAAATGAAAGGCCACAATAGCTCCCCAAAAGGCAAATTGAGGGACCCCTGTCTGAAGGAAGGGACAGTGCAGTTGTTTTTCAGGTGGAAGCTATGGGTTTTAGTCGCTAGGCCCAAATGAGCTCGGTCGGAGTGGTTTGCAGCTTTGCAGCAGCAGAAAGAAGGAGGGTTCCGGAGGGTTCCAGGGGATTCCGGGGCTGTTGGGAGATAGGGTAACGGGGCCAAGATGCGTCGGCGCCTAGAAATGTTTGTGCCTTACCATAGTCATGCCGACAAGGGTTGCCTACTTCGTGGGGATGGACCTCCAAGAAACCTGCTATGGCTGCTCGTGGCGACCTACAACGGAAGAGCTGAATGAAGCGAGGGCTTGTCTCGGCCCATGGCGGATTCTGTGACCTTCTGCTCGAAGCGGTTGTTCTCATTGAACCCTTCTAGGGGTTAAGAATACGGGGGACATAGTTTTTTGGGGGAGACCCCTTTTGGGGTTGGATTGAAAGGGAGCCAAAGGCAAAACCCATGTGGGGATCGTGACCGGAACGACCTTAGCAGATCCTTGCTGCTTGCTTTGCCAGTCTTCTGGTCCAATCTGAGCCGCCACCCGCCCCCAACCCACCACCCCAACACGCCCCAATCCCAACCCAACCTGACCCTCCCGACCTGCTCCCCCCCCCGGTCCACCCCACCCCCATAAAGCGCGGTCCGGATCGTCTGGCCCACTGGGGCAGACCAGCTGGGTCTTCACCTCGAGCGCAGTCCTGGCATTTCGGAAGCCAAATGGAAGTCAGCCTGGGAAAACCACGCTGTGAACTAGTGAACAGAATTCGGTAGGTCCCGATTCGTGTCCAAAAACCACTGTGCGAAATCCAGAAATCTCACCACCCAAGAAACCCAACGGAATGATTCAATTCCCCAAGGTAAATGCCAAGCAAAGTTATGGTTTCGTCCATGGCTTCAAAGTGGTGCAGGATTTCGTCCACCCACAGTAGGAAAGAAACGCAACTAACCAAAGGAGCCAACCCCCAAGGCAAAGAAATGGCCATCGGTGTCCCTTTCGGTTTGGTTGACCGGCTTCCATGGGCAACAAAGCAACGGGACCAAAAAAAACGCCAGCCGGAAAACAAGATGTGCCCACCAACCAATGGAGGGCAACACAGCTTCGCTGACTGACTTCCAAGGTGCAGCGTTGCTCCCAGAAAAGAACAGCCATCGACTCAGAGGCATAAGATCCACCTCTGTAAGGAAACCAACGGAAACCGTTCGCCAATGGTTTGCTTTGGGGGGGTAGTCATGTTTTAGAGGCTCAGAGCAAAGTACCTCCAGAGGAACAACGAGGAATACATCTTTTTCCATACAACCACTATTTAAAAAGTACATGCGCTCCTAGTTTCCAGGGCGCCCGCCCTCCCGAGTGAAAATGGGGCCAGTTCAAGCTTGGTTCAGGGTTGGCCACGTCCCGAGGGCCAGGAAACATGTATCAGGCAGTGAAAACCCTATCAGCACAACAAGCTGATGTTGATCCTGGAGTTTCCTTCTGAACCAAAACGACGCGGGATGCGTGTCGAAGGGGATGACCATCCCTACCATACGCCAAAGGACCCGAGAAATCATCTGAGAAATCGAGTACTTCCGGCTCAGCAAGCGCTGCTCATCTTTGTTTGAAGCACCCAAAAAAAGCAAACCTCTACCAAAAAGAAAGACACACGGGGCCATTTCAGCCCATTTAGTAAACTTTTGTTTGTTTACCATTTTTTTGCGCAGACTCCTTTAGCACCAGGTTTCGATGACTCACTTGGGTGTGTCATATAGGGAACCCCTTTAAAACAGATATTTCATGTGTCCCCCGTATTGAGTCCGTTCTCACTATCTTAATACTACTCCGGGGTAACAACAAATTATGCGCAAGCTACAACTCACTTCCTGAGCGGCCAACGAAAGTCCAAACTTTCTGTTTGCCACCAAATGGTCTTCCCACAAAGTGTAAAGTCCATGAAGTTACGGAGGAAGACAAACACACCGGATAGTTCGATACATTTGGTTGATGGTGCCCTTGGGATTGGGTTTGGGGGGCAAACCCATGCTCGGATGGGTTTGCAAACCCCATAGTTTCCAAGCCACAAACACCAAAAATCCTGTGAGGAAAGATATGACTTCCCAAACAAAGGGGCAAGAGCACACCCTAGATTCTCACCTACATCACCGCAAAGGAAACTCACTTAGGGGCCGTTCTGTCAAACCACTTGAAAAGGGAACTCACCTGTGACCCGAATCGAACTCACTTCCCCAGTGGATTGCCAAAAAAGTCACCAAACTGGTTGTTTTCCTCTAGAAGGGTCCCCTACTTTGGAAACGCTTAACCATGCCCATCGGTTTTCGTGCTAATTCTTTTCGAATCGAGTCAACCTCCCCCGTACATCACGTCATTGGATACAACAACTAAAGTCAACCTCCTGTGCAAATCAAATCATTGAATGCAACTCTTGGCCCCTGACCTCACCTCCCCCTGGTTTCCTCGAAATAAGGCCTCAAAATGGCCTTGCTGGAGATATTTGAGAAAAAAGCGAGTGGGGATCTCGGGGTGAAATCCCATGATTTGCTTGTTACAGTGCCAGAGTTTGTGGACTGTAACCCAGAAATGCCGTGTCAACTGATGCAAACACGGAGTGGGCATGCCCCCGGTGCACATGCCCCTCTTCAAGTCCCTTGATTCCTAACCCACGTTGTAGTGGGTGTATACCAAAATTACTAAAACAAACCAAAATTTGGACAATGAACGGTTTGCCTGTGTTGCGTTTGAAAGAAGGAGGCCCGCCATCACCACAAAATAGCCCCAGCCGCAGAAATTCCAAAAATCACGAGAAACTTTGGAGTCTCAAATGGAACCACACCTCCCAAAATGTTGTCGTTCATTCCTCAAAAAATCGCTTTTCAACTCCTAAAGGTGGACTCGGAGGGTGCCTGGAAGATGAATTTCCTCTTGAAGGGCCCCCCCCTGCCATCAACTCCAATCCCAACCTGAAAACACCACGGGTGGAATCGATGGTCTTACCCCTTTGGTGAGATTGTTTCATGATCTGTCCAAAGATGACACACCCAGGCCCAAAACCGCCCCGAACCCCTGACCCCGCCCCAAAGTCACATCTGCCGATCGCCCAACGACACCAAGTCCGCAAGACACGCGCAAGAGGCGCCCCAGGTTCTTCATCACCTGCTGATTCTGCTTCGCCAGCTCTCTGGTTGGGCCTGCGGCAGGAATAGCAGCCAGCTTCAGTGGCGACCGGCTCGGCTTGGTCTTCAACATGGGTGTGTGTTGAGGGGACCCCTCTGGAGGGTGTTGAAGGGAAACCGAAAGGAAACAACCTTCGAACCTATGCGGGACCCCTCAGAATGGCAGTTTTTTTCCCGTCAGTTTCTCCGAAAAACTCATCGGGTTCATGCAGAAATGGATGTAGAACCCAACAAATCAGCTGGGTTTGAAACCAATCAGCTGGTTCATCCAACCAGCTGGTGAAATGGGGCATAGAATCCCTTGAGCAGAGGGGTGCAGCCCCCTTTCGAGTTGAACATGCTACGGATCTGCAAGGTTTATGCAATCCGTGTCGAAATTCAACCGATCATTTCTGTCCCCAACCAAAACATGGAATTGCATCTGGGAGTGGGTGTCATTTTGTTTGAGGGAATTCTCTAAAAACAGGTGTATGGGGAACTGAACCAAAGAAAGATCATATCTTTTTTGGAGGGGGTCAACCTGAAACAAGACACCTGTTTACCGAAAAACGCGAAGACCTTCCTTTGAAAGGGAAGCAGCTGTCCGCTTCCGTGCTTGGAGGATGCCGGAAGTGTGGAAGTAGGGAGCTTCAAAACGGGAGGCTCGTGGACGCCTGGCGAAAAGTCGAACTTTTCGTGGGATAGGTCATAACCCCCTCCAAACACAAAGCAAGTAGAAGTCTAAGGGTATGCATATTTTGTCTAACGGAAAACAACAGAAATCCTTCCCCAAGTTTCCTCCCTCACATGGAAAAGGCAATTTTGAGGTTTTTTTCCGAGCAACGAGAAACCTCCGCCGAACGCAAATTGACCCAACCCGTCCGACTCCGCAAAACAAAGCCGGGGACCCGTGCACACGACGATGGCCTGGGGCCAATCGTCCTGGCCAAAATAGAAACGGAGGGGGGGAAAAAGGGTCCGGCGACACGGATGGACCAACATCGACCCTATGGGTGGTGAAGAGTGTCAAGGGAAAAAGCAACGGAACGACCGGCACTTTGGGGTGCACCCATGTGCAAAACCGGGACCCAAAGTGTGCCAAAAGGGATAGCCACTTGTGGGGTGCGGAAAGGGAAGCCAAAGAGAGCTCGGGGCTTCGGGGCGTGGGGCTTGCTTCCCATTTTGTGCTGTCTGGACTTCGAACCCAAATCCTACATCAGCAAATAGCGAAGGCGAGGGGAAGCTTTTGGGATTGGATGAATCTCTGGTTTCAGGGGATGACACAGTAGTCGGGGGCCTTGCCCCGCAAATAAATTGCTTCATACATACCCCCCACCCTACATTTTTTTTCATCTTCCATCTTCTACCCTTATTCGTTTTCATCATTTTTCTACATTCCTTTCTGTCCATCTCATCCGTTTTTTTACCATCATTTTTCCAAAATTTTCGCCATCCTTTTCTCCTTCCTCCTCGCCTCATTCATTTCACCAACTACCCTCCAAAATGTCATTTCCTCAATCTCCTCACCTCATCCATTTCAAAAAAAGAAATTTTGCAAAATATATTGCAAAAAATATTTGTCATCAAAAAAATATTCGTCGAACTGTCTAAAAACGATTTGTCCATTTCCCGGACAAAAAATAGAACAGCAACAACATCACTCCCTCCTTCGTTTCATCAGTTTCATCATATATTTTTTTGGGCGTGGTCGCATAGCTTGCGAGCTTCGCTAACGCTCGCGTGTCCCTTGTAGGATTTTATCTTCAATATTTAAACCGCTATACTTACATTATAATTATAACATATAAGGGTATAAATGTTATTATTATAGTATGGTTATGAAATTAATAATAGCTACCAACACTTTCATTATCGCTAACTTCTTCTTCGCTTTTGTAGAAGTCTTCAGTGCCTAATATATGATAAACCCGGATATGCCATTCTGCTTCTGTTCTAAATGGCATCATTGATAAAAGTGCTCTCATAGCGTCATAATATTGACTTGTCAGTATTTTTCTACCATTAATGTTCATATCATCAATATTATTAATAAACCATAGATGCTTAAACTTATATTCAATATTAAATATGTAAGAATAATCGTAAAATGTTTTTAATTCTAAGTATATTTCATATTCAGATTTTTTACCATCTAAATATTCAGTCAAAGACATTATCCAGAATGGATTTCTTTTTACCTTTTCCCAAGTTGGAAAAGGGTGTTTAATGATATCGTTATACCTGTAAGGACATATATCATAACAGTTATATGACATAATATTCAATCTAATTTCTAATGGTAAATTGTTAAGTTCCATTTCTATTATAATATATAGTGTTTATTTCTTTAAATACTTTTTTACAAGAAATAAAATTAAATATTGAAATATAATTATAACATATAATATGTTACATGTTATTATTATATTATGATTATAATTTCAGTTCAGGATAATAATTTAATTGATATATCTTACCTCTTTCATACATCATTTTAAAAATAAGATTAATATCTCTCACTGTATTTTTAACATTAAACTGTTCACTTTCAATATATGATTTTATGACTTTTTTTACATCAACGCCGGGTTTACTATAATAAATCAACATCCATAATATGTCATTAATCATTTCACACTTTTTCTTACTGATTTTAAGAAACTGTTTAACATAATCGTAAGGTGGTCTTTCATACACAGTTAAAAATATCAATATTTCATCTTCAACATTTCTTTCATCTATATTTTTAAACGCCAAACAATTTTCTATTATATTTTGATATCGTCTCCATCTTCTACAAGTTCTACATATATTTTCTTCGTCCAAAGAATAATCAATAATATTATTAACTCTTCCATTAGGTAAATTCAATTTATATAATTCCATATTTTCCTTTTTGAAGTGGCAACAATCGTAGCATTTCTTATTGATATAATTATTGATTTCGGTTTCCATCATTTCTATTATAATATATATAGTTTTTATTTCTTTAAATACTTTTTTCCAAGAAATAAAATTACATATTCAAATATAATTATAACATATAATATTTTACATGTTATTATTATATTATGATTAAAATTTAAGTTCAGGATAATAAGTTAATTGATGATTATTAAATTGTGTATATATCTTATGTCTGTCATGCATCAGTTCAAAAATAATATTAATATCTCTCACGGTATTTTTCACATTAAACTTTTTGCTTTCAATTTCTGATTTAATGTCTTCTTTTACATCAGCCCCTTCTCTTCTACGATGTAACAATATCCATAAAATGTGGTTAATCAGTTCATACTTTTTCTTACTGATTTTGAGAAATATTCTAACATAACTATAAGGTGGTCTTTCATACACAGTTAAAAATATTATAATGTTGTCTTCAACATTTCTATTATGTCTTCTTTTCAGATTTAAATGACATCTGATTAATTCTTGACTATCTCTCCAGGTTTTACAATTTTCGCATATATCTTCTTCATCCATTGAATAATCAATAATATTATTAACTATTCCATTAGGTAAATTCAATTTATATAATTCCATATTTTCTTTTTTAAAGTGGCAACAATCGTAGCATGTCTTATTGATATAATTATTGATTTCGGTTTCCATCATTTCTATTATAATATATATATAGTTTTTATTTCTTTAAATACTTTTTTCCAAGAAATAAATTTATACCTTTAATAACTCATGTCTCAAAAATGCCCTGTCATAATTTTCAATATAATAATATTCCTGTCCTAACTTCTTTTCAATCTTTGCTATTTTGTAGGTTTGTTTAGTCCATACTCCTACTCTCTCCTTTTCGTTTGGTCTCCTTTTCCTGAATATCTTAACTTCATTTCCTACATTTAAATCTGGATAAACTCTATTTCTTTTGGCTTTCATACCTAAGTTTAAACTCACTTCTAATTGATGTTTAGGCTTTCTTGCTTCTGACGGTGTTAAGCCGTGCGAAGTGTGCTTTATTCCATTGTTATAAGTTAATATAATCTCGTGTATGTAGTCTGTCCATTGAATAGCCTTTCCTTTTTTCTCATCGTTTTCAACCCTCTTATACAAGCTATCTTTAAACGTCCTTATCGCCCTCTCCGCGAATGCTGGGTGACCTCTGGTTCTATGTAATTCTATTTTTTCATCTTTCAAGAAATCTATAACACTTTGATTATTATAAGCTCCTTCGTCGTCAATATAAATTAGTTTGGGCTTTCCACCCATTTTTTTAATACATTCCATTAGTCCTGCTAAAATGTCCGCTGGCTGTTTTGACATAAGCGGGACAACAACCATATACTTAGAAAATATGTCAATACACATCATGCCAACTTTCATTTTTTGTTTAGGGATATCATTAATGAAAAATAAATCAATTTGAAACTCATAATATGCGTTAGGAGCTACAAATGAATTCTGCCCTCTTGGCTTGGCTTTCTGTTCTACATTCTTCCTAAAAAACTCATTAATATCGTTTATAGTTATTGTGTTATCCTTTTTTCTTGCTTCTTGTAAAGTGCGGTTCTTTGACCCGAAGCCTCCTTTATCATAATAAACATTATTAATAATATCTTGCTTAGATGCCATATAAAATAAGATAGATATTATTTTTCCCGGCGATTACAGTTTAAACAGTAAGATATACAGTTTTCCTTATGATGGGCATAATCGTTGTTTATTCTTTGGGCTGTCATATTGCTATTTATTACTCCATTATTTATTTCTATGTCAAAATCTGAACTGTATTTATTACATATGGTATTAAGCCTGTCAAATAACCATTTGACATCAATATATTGTTTGTTGTCTATCTCTCTCTCTGCTTTCATGTCTTGTAATTTATATTGTTTAATCTTATGTTCTAAATATCTGGTTACTTGTGCTTCATTTAAATCAGTATCATCTACGTCTGCTTTGAAAAACTTGACTTTATTGATATCTCTGCATCTCGTGAGGGCTGTCCAAATCCACTCACGGCTGACCAAATGTGATTTATCCCATTCGTGTATAGTAATGCTTTTATCTAGAGAAGCCCCTTGAGACGAATGACATGTAGCACAATACGCATGTATAAAGTGCTTGTCTAAAGTCGTGGTGTTTGTCATGAATATAGTTTTACTTTTGATATCTTGGATTTCTACTTTCCAATCATCAATACTAATAATTTCATAAGTAATATTTACATTAAACACCTGCCCCATTTCTTTTTTATAAACTCTGCATATCACATGCTCTCCAATTTCATATTTATCTGTCTTTCCTAAATTATTTCTTACGGTCTTGCTTACCCATTTGCACTTAGCATTAGTATATGCTATGTTATGCTCTCCTTCCATGATGTCGCTTGTAGTTTCAAAATGTTTATTTACTATTTCCTTAATGGGCAGTTTATTTTTCCAAATGTCATTATATATATCATTCAATGTAATTTTATCTTTTTCTGTCTTAAGTCTCTTAGATATCTTAAGATAAATCTTATATTTAAATATTTGATTAAGACAGTTGTTTAAATATGTCTCGTGGTCCTGGGTGTTAGTTAAATCAGCTATAGGTTTCAACTGCTTCCCGTCAGCAGTTCCTATAATTATCTTCTCTGGGTACGTATCCTTAAACTCCCTAACTCTGTTCAAAATATAATTGCCCGCCATACCTAGCTCATCAAACACAATACAATTATAATCAGAATGGTCAAATGTCGGTAGTCTTTCTCCAGCTTCTATTGGAATACTGAAAAACTTGTTTAATGTTACGGCGTCGGCTTCGGTTTCTTGCTTCTGCTTGTTATTAGAACATACGAACAACACATTATAACCTAGATTTTTTCATATATTCGCCTATATAACTCTTGCCGCTTCCAGCCAGTTTTGCTTTTAGTAAAACCGGATGACACGACACAATTTGCTCACAAATGCTTTTGGTGTCGTATTCGTCTTTAACACGAA